TCGGTTATGGTTTCACCCACTTTCATCTCTAGAACTTCAAAGTCTCTTCTCAGTGCTTGGAGAAGGGAACACTTTACTCTAGCATTCCCGACAAACTTTTTCTTCATTGAATCCCATATCTGCTTCGATGTGCGTTTCTCCATAATTTGTTCAAGAATTGTTCTGTCAATGACTTGAAACAAATAATTCTTAACTTTGAGGTCTTTCGTAATCAGATCCTCCAACTCCTTTTGTTGCTCCTCAGTTAACTCCACTCCTTTTGGAGTTTCTTCATAACCATTCTCCACCAAATTCCAATAACCCTTTGATCTCAAAAGGTTTTCCATAAGCATGCTCCAATGGTCATAATGACCATCGAAACGTGGTATGGCAGGTTACACAAAACTCTTATCCTCACTCATTTTATGATTCACTCAAAGGCTGCAGGTTTTTTTGTTATCAGGCCCAAGATGGAGCTCTGATACCAATTTGTAGAAATATTAAAGTATATCTAAACAAATTGATGAATGAATATTTTATTGAATAGGAGTCAAGCCTTTAAATAACAGCAGAAAAAAAAAAAAAAAGATAACTGACATAAAAAAATTAAAACAGAACCTAAATATTTACATGACAGACTCAACAAAATATAACAAACTTCGACAGCAACAACAATACCTTGTGTACAAATATATCGCAGGACAACTCTGGGAAAATAGATTAACTGAAATATGATTTTTATTATTCTTTCAATACAAAGAGATGATATAAGATATATACAAGAGACCTAAACTATTTTAGGAAATATAATAACTCTATTTTATGCTAGGATCCCTTGATTTATGGGATTGTCCCTAGTTATTCAAATCTTATACAGATTACAAGGAAATATACAAATTTCCTTATTTATTCTTTCCTAAAATACTATTTGATTTCTCACACTCCCCCTCAAGCGGGTGAATAGATGTTTTCCATTCCCAGCTTGGATACAATCTTCTCAAAATTATGGCAGCCCAGTCCCTTGGTAAGAATGTCTGCAATTTGGTCTTGAGAGGACACATATGGAGTGCATATCAAGCCACTATCAAGCTTTTCTTTGATGAAGTGTCTGTCTACTTCAATATGCTTTGTTCTATCATGCTGCACTGGGTTGTGGGCTATACTGATTGCTGACTTATTATCACAATAGAGCTTCATAGGTTCTTCCCCCTTTATCCCCAAGTCTTCTAAGATGATTTTAAGCCATATCACATATACCTTGTGCCATGGCTCGGAATTCCGCTTCAGACATCTGGACCGAGCCACTACACCCCGCTTTTGATTCTCCAAGTCACAAGATTTCCTCCAAGAAAGGTGCAATATCCCGTAGTTGACCTCCTATCCACAATTGACCCTGCATAATCGGCATCGGTATAGGCTTCAAGCTTCACATTACCATTCCTTTTGAATAGAATCCCTCTTCCTAGAGTTCCTTTAAGGTACTGCAAAATTCTGTGGGTAGCTTGTAAATGGGTCTCCTTTGGGCTATGCATAAATTGGCTAATTAAACTCACTTGCATAGGCAATATCCGGCCTGGTATGTGACAAATATATAAGTCTGCCCACTAATCTTTGGTACATATCTTTTTCAACGACAACATCTTCTTCTGCATTTCCAAGCTTTAGGTTTGGTTCTAATGGGGTACTAGCAGGTTTGCAAGCCGCCTTGCCGGTTTCCTTGAGCAAATCGGTGATGTATTTCTCTGAGATATAAATATCCCTTTCTCGGAGTGGGCAACTTCAATTCCCAAAAAATATTTTAGTTTTCCCAAAATCTTGATCTCAAATTCCTTGCCTAAGCATTGGCTCAATAATTGTTGCTCTTCTTTATTATCTCCGAGTTAATATTATGTCATCCACATACACCAATAATATTGTTACTCCCCCGACTTGGAATGTTTAAAAAACAAAGTATGGTCCCCTTGGCTTTGTTTGTAACCCGGACTTGTCATAACTTTAGTAAACCCGCCAAACCATGCACGGGGGACTGTTTTAACCCATATAATGCCTTTTTCAACTTGCAAACAGTGTTGGCAGCAACATCTTTACCATATCCCGGAAGTATCTCCATATAGATTTCTTCTTCAAGGTCTCCATGTAGGAAAGCATTCTTAACATCAAATTGTTCCAAGTTCCAACCATAATTGGCAGCAAGGGACAATATCACCCTAACTGTGTTCATTTTGGCAACCGGAGCAAAGGTCTCCAAATAATCAACTCCATAGGTTTGGGTGAACCCTTTGGCAACTAGTCTTGCCTTATATCTCTCAATTGATCCATCAACCTTGTATTTCACTGTATAGACCCATTTACATCCAACTGGCCTCTTTCCTATTGGTAAGGTGACTAACTCCCAAGTGTTGTTCTTCTCCAATGCCTCCATCTCTACATCCATGGCTTGCCTCCATTTTCTATCAGACAATGCCTCGAGATAGGGTATTAGGTAGAAGTACGGTGTTTAGGTTTACTAGGAAGGTTTTATGGGTAGGAGAGAAATTTTTAAAGGACAGGTAATTTGAGAGAGGGTAGAGTGGTCTGTTTGGTGCATTTTCTTGTTCCTTTTCTAATGGCAATTGGGAGGTCGGGATCATTTTGGGTTTCAATTTCAACTCTGCATGCTGGAGAAAAAATTGTTACCTCTTTTTGTGGAGTCGAGTTGGATTCTTGAACATGGCTTGATCCTGGAATGGCCTTAGTCTTCCTTGAGTACACCGAGCCTTCTTACCAAATTTTCCGGTTTCAACATCTTCTTGATCAGCTTCACAATTAATTTCACTTTCTTGACCAACTTCCTTTGCTTGACCATTTCCTTGACTTGTTTCATTTGTTACAACTTCAATTTGATCTTCAATTTGATCTTGTTTAGGTTCAAATATCAAGTGCTGGAAGAATGGGAAAACCAGAATTACTACTTTCAATATGATTTCGTTTAGGTTCAAATGTCAAGTCCGGAAGAATGGGAAAACCAGAATTACTACTTTCCTTATCTTCCCTGAAACTCTCCCCCTAAAGATAAGGTTGATGGAAATAGCCCTCTTGTTCATTGAAGGTAACATCCCTAGACACAAAGAATTTTTTGGATGGGGGGTGGTAGCATTTATACCCTTTTTGAGTGGGTGAGTAACCAACAAAGACACACTTTAAGGCTCTAGGATCAAGTTTCCCCTGTCTCGTACTATGAATATAGACATATGAGATGCACCCAAAAACTCTTGGTTTAAGATTATTTGTAGTAGACAAGTTTGGATAGAAAGACGACAAAACTTCCATAGGGCTTTTTGATCCTAAGACTCTAGAGGGTAGTCTATTGATAAGGTATGTTGCTTGTAAGGACAGACTTTCCCCGTAAATTTTTTGGGACACTCTTTTGGAACAACAATGCCCGAGTCTCGATTTAATAGATGTCCATTTTTCCTCTCTCGCGACCCCATTCTCGTTGTGGTGTTTTGATACAAGAGGACTCATGAATTATACCTTCTTTTTGACAAAAAGAATTAAGGACATGATTGAAGTAATCTTTGGCATTATCTTACCTAAGCCTCTTAATATTAACACCAAACCGATTTTTTACCATGGAGTGGAAGTTTAGGAAGACAGAACCGACTTCGATTTTTGTTTAAGTAGGAAAACTCAAGTGACCCTTGTACAGCTCATCTATAAAGGTGACAAACCATCGAGTACCGAGACACATTTGGAATATTAGAAGGTCCCCATACATCGAGTATGAACAAGATAAAAAGGGAAATTGCTAATTCTATTACTTATTGGAAAAGATATACGTTTGTGCTTAGCAAGTTCACACACCTCACAATGAAGACTCTCAACATCTAACTTGGTAAACAGAGAGGGAAATATAATTTTGATCACTCCAAAAGAGGGATGTCTCAACCGACAATGATAAAGCATGATTTTTTCTCTATTGGTCATCAAGGATTCAGATATGAAGGAGTGAGAGATTCTATTCTTGCTGGGCAGACTTGGATCTTCGAGATAATAAAGGTCATTCCATTCTCTAGCATGTCCAATCATCCTCCCCGAATCCTTATCCTGAAATACACAATGATCGTTGGAAAAAATAACTTTACATGACAAATCCTTTATAAGTTTTTGTATAGACACTAGGTTCGTGGACAACTTTGGTACATGGAGAACATCTTTTAAGGTTATTAAAGGATTGATTTGTATATTTCCTTGACCAGCTGCAGTTATAAGGGTTCCATCTGCTGTGGCAATTTTCTTGTTGCTGGGACATGGGGAATATGTGGAGAAGTATTTGGCTAAATGGTGTCATGTGATCTGTGGCTCCAGAGTCCAATATCCAATAATGGTCAAAAGGCGTATCTGAGACATTTAATCCAAAAGAAGGTGGAAACTTACCTGAGTATGCCAAAGAACACATACCTGTAGGTTTTTCCAGCTTACTAAGAATGGTTTTTACCCTTTCTATCTCCTCTTCCCTTGACATCATAGCAAGGAGGTGTGATGCAACAACAATACAGGCTATCGTCTTAGGATTAAGAAAAATGCAACAGCAATGCAGGCTGCCGTCTTAGGGTTAAGAAAAATGCAACAGCAATGCAGGCTGCCATCTTAGGGTTAAGAAAAATGCAGCAGCAATGCAGGCTGCCGTCTTAGGGTTTATTGCGCGCAGACAGAGCTTCCTAGATCGGAAGCTCTGACACCATCTGGGAAAATAGATTAACTGAAATATGATTTTTATTATTCTTTCAATACAAAGAGATGATATAAGATATATACAAGAGACCTAAACTATTTTAGGAAATATAATAACTCTATTTTATGCTAGGATCCCTTGATTTATGGGATTGTCCCTAATTATTCAAATCTTGTACAGATTACAAGGAAATATACAAATTTCCTTATTTATTCTTTCCTAAAATACTATTTGATTTCTCACAACAACATTACCATGCAGAGTACATAATCTAATAGGGTAAATTTAAAACTATTTACTAAAGAACTCACATATTTCCAGGACCCTCAACAACAGAAGTAGGCATCATGGTAAATGGTTGTGTGTAGATCTGCAGAGAGAGGTCTTTATTTTAATGATGATAAGCAAATGCAAAAATTAGAAATATCAAACTGAATTGAATTTAATATAGTAATGGCTACTAATTTTGATAAAAATCAGTGACCTTTTAGCATATGAATTCACAGCTACAGAAAATCAATTAGTAAAGATTAAGAAGGAATAGTTTAACTTAATTCATCAGTTTCTAGAAAAGAAACAAACCAGAAATTTCACTTTGACAATAAAATTCTACTGAATACCTGCATTTTCTTTCTTAGCCTACAACTATGGATATACTTATATATTTTATGAGGATATATTTTATGAGTAACAGTATAGGTAATACTTATATATTTTATGAGGATATATTTTATACTTACATATTTTATGAGGATATATGTAATACTTTTATTTTTTAAGACGATAAGACAAACCTCAAGTGTGAGATTCAACTTAACATCAACTTCTAAATATGATGTTGCACCAGCACCACCCCAGATCATGTGGTTTACCATGAATGCTGCAAATCCATAGAAATTATTAACAGATTAACATGACAGTTCTAAAAAACACTGAAAAAGCCAAAAAAGTTTCATGAAACATGTATTGAAGATAAACTTGAATTCACAAGAAAATTGTGATGAAAGGCTAGCTATGAGAAAGATAATAATTTCAAATGTTATCAAGTAAATTCTTTTGATATCTGGAGAAATTTCACAATTTTATCTCTTTGCACCCATGATAAGTCCTTTCCTGCATTTTCAGCACCAGAAGATGGAAAATATTACAAAATATAGTATGAGCTAATGCTATAAGGAGGACCAAACATATTTCTCTCTATTCTACGGAAGACAGATAAATTTCTTTGCTGGTGGATTTTTATAAAATATAAACATTTTTACAATTCAATTTGACAAAGGGAAGATTAACAAACACAAGGTACGACTATGCACAAAGAGTACATCATAAATACCTGAAAAGTGGCTGTTTTGCTCTTTCACAACGTCTGAACCCTCAAACTGTAAATAATAAAGTATCAAACAATTAAATGGGATGAGTGACAAAAGGAATGTTACAAACACTCATGTTCAACCAAATTAAGGTTTATATTCATTTATTAAATCTCAGGGCATTGATTAATACGTGTGCTTTAGGAATATTATTAACCAAAAGCTTTGTGAAAGGGGCTTGCATACTAGAAATTAAGAAACTTTACTACTGTGTCTGTGTATGTGTTTTATTCATTAACTCACTCTCTCTCTCTCTTCTCTCTAAAACATAACAGAATTTTAGGAGTAAATTGGTGGTTTAGGCAAGGAGGGAAGAATCTATGTATCAGCTCTTATTTTTATCTCATATTGCTTTGTTTCTTATGATCGGTTGTGTCTCAGTTTATTATGAGCTAGTAAAAAATTGAAGTTTACACTTTTGGGATGGGGAGGAGGGGGTCACACCTTACAAGAAAGCAGCTCAACCAAGCAATCTTCATCCGTTGAGGTAACTCGCAAATCCAGCACTGGGGCAGCTTCAAAGTTTAAAAATTGAAGTTTAGGCAGTTCACATCTACAGATACAAGAATAATTATTTGATTTCAGATATATATTTCTGCCACAACCCAAGTCCAGTAAGATATTTGCCAGAGTTCATAAAAGCCTTCAGAAAAAGAAGTATTTGCTGTCTAACATTCTACATTTTTCAGACAGTTGTTTAGATAATCATGCCCTGCATTATAGGGAATAGTATTTTAAACCTATTTTGAATATAGTGCAACTGACTCTATCAGCTGAACCATTGCATTTTAAGTGTAGTTCTGTATGAGTACCTAAATGTAAGAAACAGCTCTACTTTCTTGTGGACTCATGCAAATCAGCTGTTTATCTGCAGATATTCTTCATTAACAAGAGATACTTTGAATTTATGAAAAATATAATAATTTTGGGTGGTTCCCTTTGAGCAAACTTCAAATCATTATCTATTGTGTTCATTCGTATTGCCAGTGCCAAATATAGCAAGTGAAATTAGGTAAGCATCATAAATTGCAATCTGATCCTTTACTTGACTCTAATTATATTCAGAATCTAGATGAGTAACAATATTTGCATTATACATACCATTGAAAGAGCAACTAAAGCCACAGGAGGGGAAAAACCTGTATGTGTTAGCATCAAGAGAATGAAATGATTCTAAGGCCTTTGTGTTTAAAACGGCTGCAATTCCGCTAGGGTGGTTCAGAAATTCACTGATATGATATTTTTTCTCTCCAAGATCATCATTATATGTTGGCAGCCTAATTCTCTCCTTTTTCGCTGCAGACAAATTTGCCCTCTTTGCATTTGAATTCAAGTTAGTTACTGCCTTCACCTTGAGGTCCATATTCTTCCTAAAAATTCAAATTCATGACCCAAAAATTAACAATTCTTAGCAAAGATCACAATTCACAAGATTTGAAGGTTCAAAACAAACCCAACAGTAAAAAAAAATAAAAAGGAAAAAAGAAAACAAACTACCCTAACACCTCTTATGGTATCTTGAGATTACAAATATTTATGTTTTTAAAAGTTCCATAGCTTTACCACATAGTAGGGTGTTAAAATAGGGTTAACCCCAGGCCCGAAAGATTAAAGGAATAGGTTAGGTTAGATTAAAAATTTTGTAATCTAAATTGAATCAAGGCTATTTTGGCTTGACCGTTTAAGTCATGGATTTACGTCAGACTAGTTCGTAAGTTTATGTACTTGACCCACTTTATAAAATAATAATAATAATTTTAAATAAAAATAAAAGTAATATTATTTTATTAATATATATATATATATATATATTATAAATTAATTTGATTAGAAATTTACTTATTCTAAAATTAAACATAAGATAAAGTCTCCAACATCTAATAAATAAGATGAATTATTGTTTTAGATCAACAAATCACTAAACAAATTGAATGATGATAAAGAAGAATAATTTTTTACCTCTTATTTTGGGATTAAATAGATATTTTCTCTTATAATTTATATATTGAATCATTATATTTGAAATAAAATAATTTTTTTAATATAATTTACATTTTAAAAATATTTTTAATTTTTATTTAAATATTTATTAAATTAAATTTTTTTTTAATAAACTCGTTAATAATATTTTTTTAATTATTAATCATGTCAAAATTGGTACGTTAGTCTCTTGATCTAATAGAGGATCAAATTGTTGGCAAATTTTGGGTCATGTATATATATGATACATAATTTAAATGTGTTAGGGTTATTATTTATTAAGCCAAATAATAAAGTGATCTGACTAAATTAATGTTTTGGCTAAAGGCATATGTCATGAAAATAAAATTGTGTAGAGACCATTGAGCAATTTCTAATTTGATGAGGGGTCAAATTAGAAATACTAAAACTTAAGTAATTAACCTAATTCTGGTTATTTTAAGGGGTCGTGGTCCCTTCTGGGAGCACACACACAGATTTATCCCCATCAAGAAAGAAAATCAATAGGGAAATACAGTTGTTCTTCAGGTGGAAGACCATAAGATCAATATAGTGATCTACAAAGACATCATCATTATGGCTAATTCATGTACGCTTTCGCATTTAGTTTACATCATGTTTATCAGTATGGGATTATGTTTACGTTTGATCGTTAGAATCAAAATCAGGATTATGTTTATGTTTGATCGTTAGAATCAAAATCAGGATTATGTTTATGGTAGTTTAATATTTTTTGTAAGCAAATTGAGTCAAGAAGTCACCAAAGTAACATCTCTTGAATTGGGCAGTTCATGAAAAATATTGAATGTTAGTGTTTGTGTATATTCATGCGAGTATTAGTCGACCCAAAGGAAGATTAATATTTGGCCGAATTGCATACACACTTGTAATGATAAACATGTGATAATTATAAGGATTTGCTTTGCCGATGATAAATCAATCCAAAGACTGGTTTGTTGTTGGACGTGCTTTATTGTCAATGTTTGATTATTACAACAAGATACCTCTAGTAGTTAATATTACTGTCCAAAGACTTGATATTGATGGTGCATTGGGTGTCTTGAGATGGGTTAAACCACTATTTGAATATATATTATTTATTTTTTATATAATGTGAGCATAATTAGTTTATTTCTCGTGTTCTAAATTCAACTACAATTGCTTCGTATATCGCCAATTTAAATTATGTTCCGGTCCTCAATGGAACAAATTTTAAGGACTCGAAAATAGAACATTGATAATATTCTTGGTTGCATGGATATGGATCTTGCGTTAAGGATCGAGCAACCCCTACTCCTACAGATTCAAGTACCTCCGAACGTAAAAGAGATTATGAGAAGTGGGATCGCTCAAATCGCATGAGTCTAATGATCATTAAGCGCGGCATCCCGGAGGTGTTTAGGGGCACTGTTTCGAAAACATCACAAGTGCCAAAGAATTCCCTGCTGAAATTGAGTAGCGCTTTGCAAAAAGCGATAAGGCGGAGGCAAGCACTCTTCTTCAGAACTTGATCTCCATGAAATATCAAGGCAAAGGAAATATCGTGGAGTACATTATGAGCATGTCTCGATATTGTTTTTAAACTCAAGGCACTAAAGCTTGAACTCTCGGAAGACTTGTTCATTCATTTGGTGTTGATTTCTCTTCCTGCAACATTTAATCAATTTAAGGTATCTTACAACTGTCAGAAGGATAAATGGTCTCTTAATGAGCTCATTTCACATTGCGTACAAGAAGAGGAAAGACTAAAGCAAGACAAGACAGAAAGTGCTCATTTTGCAAGCACCTCCAAGGCTAAGGGCAAAAGAAAGATATTAGAGGATCTCGAGAAAGAAGCTGCTAAGGGTCCAGAACAAAAGAAACAAACTCAAGAAAACAAATGTTTCTTTTGCAATAAGACTGGACACGTAAAGAAGAAATGTGTTAAATATCATGCTTGGCGTGAAAAGAAAGGGTTGCCTAAACTACCGGAAGCCAATTGATTCTGAAAGATGGATTTATGTTGGAGATGGCAAATCGGTAGAGGTGGAAGCTATAGGGCATTTTAAATTGTTACTGAGTACTGGTTTTTTATTTGGATTTGAAAGACACTTTTGTTGTGTTGTCATTTAGACGGAATTTAGTTTCAATTTCTTATTTGGACAAATTAGGTTATTTGTGTTCATTTGGAAACAATAAGTTCAGTTTGTCTTTTAATTCAGATATTGTTGGAACTGGTTCACTTTTGATTTATGATAATCAGTATTTACTTGATATTGTGACCACCTATAATAAAACCCTTAATACAGAATCACGTGGTACTAAACGTAAAATTGAAAATACTCACTCAGGTACATTATGGCACAAGTGCTCAGGTCACAATCGAATCGTGACGTTTTGGGCTTGTGATACACTCTTAAAGATATGGTAAAGAGTAAGATTTGTCATTCCACCTTACTAGAATCACTTTGGGAAGAGGCACTAAATACGACAGCTTATATTCTAAATAGAGTACCAACTAAAGCAGCTACCAAAACACCTTATGAGCTTTGGATTGAGCGACAACTTAGTCTGAAGCATTTCCATGTGTGGGATTGTCCAGCTGAGGCAAGACCTTATAAGCCAAATGAAAAGAAATTGGACTCCCGAACAGTAAGTAGTTATTTTATTGGTTATGCTGAAAATCCAGGGGATATAAATTTTATGATCCCACATTAAAGATAATTTTTGAGACGGGAACTGCTACGTTCTTTGAGGATATTGAGTTTGGGGTGAAGAATAAGATTAAGAACTTCATCTTGGAGGAAGAATCGGTAACAATTTCATAACCGATTCAAATAGTTACTTTTGATAAAGTAAGTTCGAAACCTCCACAAGGCATTGTTGATGAACCCCTTACTCAAGATAATTTGGTTGTTCATGAAGAACAAACTCAAGATCCTCAAGAACCTATGCATCATGAGCCAATAACTTTGCGGAGATCCACTAGAGAAAGAAGAAGTGCTATTTCAAATGATTACATGGTATTTCTTCAGGAACATGAGGAAAATAATGATAGAATGGAAGATGACCCAGTTAACTTCCGTCAAGCTATGCAAGGTTCTAACTCTGAAAAGTGGATTGAAGCAATGAAGGAGGAGTATAAGTTCATGTAAGACAATAAGATTTGGGAACTTGTCCCATTACCATAAGGTATGAAACTCATTTGGCTTCAAGATGAATATTGTTGATGATTGTGTGTATCACAAATTTAAAGGGAGACAAGTTTAGTCTCAATCAGTATCCAAAGGGGAATTTGGAAATTGAGGAAATGCAAAAGATTCCCTATGCATCAGTTGTATGGAGTTTGATCTATGTCCAAGTATGTACGCATCCAGGCATAGCATATATAGTTGGGGTTCTAGGCAGATATTTAAGCAATCCAGGAATAGACAATTGAAAAGCAGCAAAAAGAGTCATAAGATATTTAAAGAGAACAAAAGATTATATGCTCACATATAGGAGGTCAAACGAGTTGGAGATCGCTGGGTTTTCTGACTCAGATTTTGTAGGATGTCAAGAATTTGTAACATGCTATGAGGCATCAAATCATGGAATATGGCTGAGAAATTTTGTCACAGGGCTGCAAATTGTGAAAGGTATTGAAAGACCACTTAAGTTATATTGTGACAACAAATCAGCTGTATTGTTAAGGAAAGAGTACAAAGTGGACAGATTTTCATAGAACACTTAAGGACAAACTCTATGATACCAGATCCTCTGACTAGAGGACTTCCGCCCAAGGTCTTTCATGAGCATTTTCCTCACATGGGTGTTTTACAGTTTGAGGAATTTGTGGTTTAGTGGGAGTTAGTCACTTTCATATATTTTATGTTCTAGGTTTAATTTCATATGTGTATACATTGTTTTTTGGACATATTTGGTTATCTATAGATATGCGGTTTTTTCGTTCATTCATTACACTTTGTACATTAAGGATATTATATCGATCTCGATAAGTTAAAGTTTGGACCAGTTGAAAATAGACGTGTACAGATCACCTTCACGTAATTTTTCATGCTACACATTTCATGATGAATCCATGTCATTTCTTTATGTTTGGATGAGTAATCATTGTTGGTTTTAGTTGCGATGATACAATGAAAAGCTGGTTTGGTTCTATATTCTGATATGATTAATGGACAGGACTTTTGGAGTATGCTAAAAGGAATATAATGGTAATTTTGAGCTCATAAAGTCTAACACATTTGTAAGGTTGTAAGAACATATATATTTGTGACCAGTGAGAGATTGTTGGCAAATTTTGGGCCATGTATATATATGATACATAATTTAAATGTGTTAGGGTCATTATTTATTAAGCCAAATAATAAAGTGATCTGACTAAATTAATGTTTTGGCTAAAGGCATATGTCATGAAAATAAAATTGTGTAGAGACCATTGAGAAATTTCTAATTTGATGAGAGGCCAAATTGGAAATACTAAAACTTAAGTAATTAACCTAATTCTGGTTATTTTAAGGGGTCGTGGTCCCCTTCTGGGAGCACACACACAGAACGTAAGTATCAGTCCCGTTCCTTTCTTTCTATCCCCATCAAGAGAGAAAATCAATAGGGAAATACAGGTACTCTTCAGGTGGAAGACCATAAGATCAATATAGTACTCTACAAAGACATCATCATTATGGCTAATTCAGTGTACGCTTTCGCATTTAGTTTACGAGCATGTTTATCAGTATGGGATTATGTTTATGTTTGATCGTTAGAATCAAAATTATTATTATTATTATTATTATTATTATTAATTTTTCAACACAAGTTAGACCGAAAATTATGGTTCATTTAAAAATATAGATTAGGTAGGTCATCAAATTTTTTCATTTGGCCCTGAGGCTAGACCAAACTGAGTTTTGCCACTCATTTTGAGAGTTCTAGCTCGTTGAAATACATTACACTAACAGTTAGCAAGAAAAACATTACACACTTCTCCAAGATAAGTTATTGTAAATGTTTAGAAGGTAGAGATATCGTGTGCAACTTGAAGAAATCACAGAATGTGAGTGTAATTTGCTCTTTAAAATGAATAAACAAATGCTTCTCTAACCTCTTTTATAAAGCCCCAGAAAGAAGTGCTACAATATGATCTCATCAATAAACAAATATTCATAACAAGGGAAAACTATATCCTTCAAGCAGGTTAACACAGTTTCACTCATCATTCAACGCTAAATGTGTTTTATGGATAACAATGGGTCTCTGATAGAACCATTAAAAGGGAAAGAAATCATGTATATGTAATACCCACAACCATAAAAATACTTGGTACCACTAATACTATTACTACCGATGTTATCATTTATAAGAAAAAAAAAAAGCTTCACTCAGTTAATTGTATTAAATTTTATTAATTTCCCAATATTCTTCCTAAACTGTCTTTCTTTGAAAACAAATAGTATAGATGATAATAATACAACCAATAAAATCAAATTGTTTTAGAAAAAATAAGAATGAAATAAAGTAAAAGTAGTTAAAATTTGTTAATATTTGAGAGAAAAGAAGTGTTTTATATTCCTTATATAAATGGAGGTAGTACAATTTTACTATTATGGAACCAACAACCAAGATAATTACACGAACTGACCCGTGGGTGAATTTTTGCGTGGTGGGGGATGAACGCGTGACCCAGTGTTGTTTGTGTCCGAAACAGTTGTTGCTCAAAACGATTGCTTTTGCTGCAAAATGAAACCATGAAGGATTAATGGAAACAGAGAAAGTGAAGTGAGAATGGGAGTGTGTGGTTGCAGAGAGAGAAGAGAAAAGGAAGTGGTGGTTGGAGTAATCACCCATCAATGTGTTGGGTGTTGGAGGAATACGAAGAACGACGAAGATTGAAGCAAACAAAGCAGATTATCTTTTATTAGGAATTGGGGGAAATGCTGCGTTGTCTATAACTGAACTTTAACGGAAACTGAGGTTATTAACCGGGAAGCTGTTGTCCCTATTTGCATGGTTTTTTCAATAAAAAAATTTGATCTTGAATCAATTTAAATAATTATCCAAAAGTGATAGATTTTTAATTAATAGTATTAAGCACTTTATCATCTATAAATATTAGTGCATCCACTCACTTTATATTAAATCCAAAAATAAAATAGAAAGGAGAAATATTTGTGATACTCCTTTCACATAATTCAGTATTTTTCTCTATTATTGGCTAGAATTGTCTGAAAATCATATTTTAATGTTACTCTCTCACATCTAAGTAAGACGAGAGACTGGCTAGATGAGAACTAGAATCCACAAAAAATATGATTTTCATTAAAATCTAATTAATAATAAAAGTATAAAAAATAAGTATTAGAGAAAATGTCCTAAAAAAAACATTTCATTATCAATGAATTTAAAGTTATAAATCACCCGACGTCAACTCTGAAAGCTTTTGGTAAATTACTTTAACAAATGATCTAGTTAAACTTAAAATTAGTATATTTCATTTCATCTTTCTATTCAATATTAATCTCAAACATGTTATAATTTTTCCCATCAAACCAAACACTTCATGACATTATGTAAACTCATGACCCTTCGTGCTACAATTACAAATAAATAAGACTTCAAGTAATATAAAGTGATGAATGTTTTAAGAAGCAGCTGAATCAATATAATTCAAATCTTCAGATTGCAATTTGATCTCAAGTTAAAATAGGTATCAGGTAATTTGCAAACGTGTATGCAAACTTTTAACCTTTTTTTCTTTTAATGGAAAGTTGTGAATAAAGCAGTTTTTTTTCTCTTTCTGAAGATGAATACGTAAGACACCCAAGTTACAGTTAAGTTACCTTATGAATACAAATATTTTTAAGGGTACTACACTAGAGAACAATTTGTCGTCTTATATTCAGTGCTTCTGAATAACCCTGAGCTTTGCACTTCTACTACGGCGGTTCAATTTTTCTTCTTCTCCTGATGGTGTGATTGGTCTTTTTGTGAGAATTGTTCCATTTGGACCATGTATTACTTGCTTTATCCATGCTTCTTTTTCTTGGATTTCATCACTAGTCTTCCTCAAACCACTGTTGAGGCTCTCCCTTTCTTCCAGATCTTCGACCCCTTTAATTATATTCAGAAATGACTGCTTCACAATTCTGTCCTCTAGACTATGAAAAGATATGACAGCAAGTCTACCCCTGGGAGAAAGGCAATCAAAACAAGAATAGAGGGAATCCTCAAGTGTCTTCAGTTCATCATTAACGGCAATTCTCAGAGCTTGAAAAACACGGGTTGCGGTCTTTATCCAACCTTGTCTTCCACCTGTTACATTGTAATTAAAGTGTAAGAGTGAAAAATAATGTTATGCTTCTCTTTGAAGGTTAGCAAACATGAAGATCAGGAATGGTATTGTAAAGAACATAACAGGAACATATTTGGTAATCAATTAATGATGAGAAGTGATGATGATAGTCAAAGAGAAAACAGAACTGGAGAAGGAACTACCTTTCATTGGAGGAGTCACACGTTTAATAAGATCTAGCAAATCAGTGGTCGAATGAAATCCACCATGTAATCGGGCATTGACAATTTTCTTTTGGAGGGTTCGCCAATTACTTTCTTCTCCATATTCTCTTAGGATTCGGCCCACTTCAGAATCTGGCCATGAATTTAATATGTCCTCTGCTTTAAGACTTGCCTGTCATAGGCCTGTGCATCAGTTCAATAGCAAAGAAAAATTATGTATTACTCATCAGCAAACGAGCAACTGGGTATCATTAGACGAGAAACTTGTCTGCCTTGATTATAAAAAACAACAAAGTATTCTAGTCTGGTAAAAGAGGAAATAGGCACATTTTGTCAACAAGAAAGATTAAAGAAAGCCATCAAAGAAGTTTCCTGCATTGTTTAGACAGATGACTTGGTACTAAAGATATTTTAGAAATAAATTTGACTCCTTTAAAGAAAGAGGAAACTTTAGAGAGAGAAGTGTAATAAACTTATTGTTAAGATTCCAACATAAAACCAATTGGCAATATGTCGAGTAGCTTAACATGTATTTAAACCATACCAAATGATATGAGGTAGGCGATGTGGGACTTTCAACACACCCCCTCCAACGAAGCCTGCCGGACCAAGCAAAGGGTACTTTTGACCCAACTAAAGGGCAACTTTTGGCCCATGACAATAACCGGAAAGATGTTAGGCTTTGGCTCTGATACCATGTTAAGATTTCAACATAAAACCAATTGGCAATATGTCGAGTAGCCTAACATGTATTTAAACCATACCAAATGATATGAGGTAGGCGATGTGGGACTTTCAACACTTATAATTGTTATTAAAACACAATTTTAACAACTCCATGACTTGGTGCATGTACGGCTGTATTTGTTACAATCTCTACCATCGATTGAAAAATCAATTGGCTATAACTCCATACATGGTACATATGCATCACTCTCTTTAGAGAAGCTAAACCATTTATAAATAGCAACTTGGACTGAACCATATTAGCTAAGCACATAGACTACAAAGAAAATCACCAGGCAATATTAAACAACATATATTTGATGCCATCTCGGTAATTTGACTATTGCAATTATTATGTCAGCAACAACATTCCATGTATTGCAATATTGAACAAACAGTTGCCACCATAACTATATTCCCATTCCTCCTCAAAAGAGCATAAATTTCACAGTGAGATACAAATGCCTGAGAAACTATACCTGAGGATCCATTCGCATATCAAGGGGTCCATCACCAAGCACACTGAATCCTCTTGCAGGATCGTCTACCTAAAACCAAAAAGAAAAATCAACACTAGTGCCTTTGGAATACCTTGTTTAAATCTTATTTGGAATTAGACATATGTACAACTATAAGTGCTTTTGGAGAGTTTATAAAAACAATTTATACTATTTTTGTAAGTTACTTTTAGCCTATTTCAACAAATTCTTTCGGAAAACTTGAAAACAATTAAACCTTATTTTCTCAATGCTTAAAAAAATACCATTAGAACAATATGATTAAAAAAATAACATAAAACAATGCTCTAACATGATAAACATTTATTCTGTAAAAGCTTAATTGAGTTGTTTGTCCAAATGCACTCCAAGTCTGAGATCCAAACTACTCAGGCACAAATCCAAGTACCATTTGATACCAATATATCATAGTTTTAAATTATATTCCACAATGACAAAATAGGCAGTTATAGAGGTCGTGGCAATCAATAGCGGCCACTTGTAATTTCTACAGGTGAACTGCAATTTGAAACCAGAATATATGGAACACAAGAGTGCAGGTAAGTTAATGAAAGTTACCAGATCCTTTTTGAATAAACTTTTCAACAGACACAGTAGAAAATAAATGAATTACAACACTTCTTCTATAAACTAAAATTAGTTTATGCATAAATTAAAATAACTTTTTTGGAGAAACTAGGGGTATGTTTTGAATAAACTTAACCAGGATTACTTACAGACGGGAAAAATGAAATAAATTTTTCCTAAGTTAAAATTAGTTTATGCATAACTTAAAAATAATTTTTTTAAGATAATTTTAGTTTATGAAAAAACTTATTTCGTTTTCCTATTTTTTCTTCAATAAGTGTTTCTAGGAAAGTTTATCGAAACATATCCTTAATAAGAGAACTTATATGAATTACTTGTACATAACTAATATAGAAGAAATTTATTTCATTTTAACTTCTCATTTTTTGACGTGCTTCTCGATAAGTAAATATGTCATTTTAATATTTAGTAGTAGAACACCTGCATAGACGACATTCCCAAGTCCATTAAGATGCCATCAACCCCCATGTGTAAGTCAGCAAATTCTCTAAGCACAGACTTGACATCTCTAAAGTTCCTCAAAACGGTATACGCTTTGACATCACCACCTAAAACTGCATCAAGGCGTGGCTGGGCAATGTGATGTGCGACAGAGTCCACATCCATCCCCACATAAAACTTCATTTCAGGATGACCCCTAATCACCTGTTTCATTTCATTCCATTCCTCAGCCCTTCAACAATACACGCAAATGAAAATTCCACAATTTCAAAAAGGTGAAACATTTAAGTTAGTTCCTGTAACAAATTCTTAATTCAGTCTCTAGAACAAACCCTCAATTTCGTGTCTACACTTAGAAACTTATTAAAGTTATCCCTATACATTTATACATGTAAAATTATTAGATTTGGTTACTGCCGCCATCACCCCTAATACATCACTGATACGAGTGTCCATTCTTAATTTGGTTTCTATCCATGTGACACATTTTTAACTTGATCATTATAATATAGGAACCAAAATTAAGAATGCGCTACACTAGTAGCGATCAAATTAAGAATGCACTGCACTTGATAGAGGGTCAAATTAAGAATAGTAGTACATGTATAGTTATTAGTGACCAAACTAAAAAATGCTTTACGTGTACAAGAACAAATCAGAAGGAAAACATGAAATAAGTCTCCTCACAAACTAAAATTACTTTAATCTGATTTTGGCGAAACTAATACTAGAGAATATCTATAATTTATAGATAAACTGATTAAAATTAGTTACAACCGGACTAAATAATGTGTTATCAGTAAAGAACCAATTTAATAAGCTTTTACAGAGAAGAATCTAATAAGTTTTTATAACACGAGGCAAATTGAGAATTCGTGTGAATATACTTAAAAATAAAAAGACTTACGGCGATGGAGTGACCGGCTGCGCCGAGGGTGCAATCGACGAAGGAGGTTAAGGATGCGGCGGAGAACACGTCCATGACTTCGCCCAGCATCACCGGAATGTGAGAGAACTTGGAGTCGGTGTGGGAGTCGTTTACGTTGCAATGCTCAATTATTTGGTGTCGGTCGAAGTGTTTGTCGGAACGGGTTCTGCGCTTCTCCTTGGCCAACCCTGCCTTTGCGTTCTCCTTCTTCTTCTCTGAGGTGGTGGCGGTTGAACGAGAAAGCAGAAAGGCTTTGGTGCGATGGACGAGTTTGGGTTTGAGGGAGAGTGTGAGACAGAATGAGGACGATATCTTGGAAAGCATCGCCATTTGTGTGATTTGACTCCCACTATTCACTCATTCCGCAACTTCCTTCAAACCTAAACTCCGCGCTGTGCCAAATGCTGTTTTATCATCTCATAAGGGAATAAAAAAATTGAATATATTTTCTGAAAATACTAATATATGACTAACATGTAAATTATGTTTCCAAGCATCAAAATAAAAGAATATATAAGATTACGTCCTCCATTGCTATCCACTGTCCCAATTTTATATATATATTTCTCATTGTCCACGAATTTTGTCATTCTCTATGCCCAACTTAATTTTGATGTGGTGGAATTGATTTAATGTATTATTCTTTATTAATTTTAAATTATCATTAGTGATAAGATTTTGTATTAATTATTTTTTAATTTAATTTAAAATTAATTATTATTGAAGAGAATTTGTAAATCTCACCCTTATTTGATAAATATTGAAGAAAAGTTCAAATTATTTAAACAAGAAAAAATTAAATATAATTAAAATTTACAGTAATTAAATATTCTTATTTAAAGAAATTATTATTATTATATTTTAATTTTAATTTTTATAAATTAATATTTTAAAAATATAATATAATAAATAATCTTTCAATCTCATTTATTATTATGTGTGTCTGCAAGTCTTATATTTATGCATAATATTTTTAAAATTAGATCGATGAAGTTATGGTTGAGGTGAATTAAATTTAATAAAATAATATTTTTTAATATAATAAATATATAATAAATTTATTAATAATAATATTTTTTTATAAAAAAAGAAAAAAATAAAAATTATTAATTAAAATAAGATGAAATATAATAAAATTTACATTAAAATAATTAGAATATATTATATTTTTTATAAAAAATTATATTAAAAAATTTAATTTTTATTTTTTTATCAAATCAATTCTAATAAAAACCTAAATTTTTTATTTTATTTTCGATTTAATTAAAATTTAATTATTTAAAAATAATAAACCAATTTCTAAATTGATTTTAGTTATCATTTATAACTATGATATTAATATTTAGTTTAAAAATGAAAGTTTTGTTATAAAGTGAATTATCACATTTAAATTACCATATGAATTAAAATATATATTTAGTGACATGAGAAAAAAAATTATAATATTAATTTTGATTCTAATTATATATATATATATATATATATATATATATATATATATTACTCGTTAATTTTCTTATAAACCCTATGTTCATGAATAGTAGCACTACTTTATTTTTATTTTTTATTTTCACGAGTTAAATAAACCCAATTCTGAGAATCCAGAAATGACCTATAATGAGACCCACACCCACCCACTTGGCTCCTCCCTTTCCCCTTTCTTTGGATATTTAATTCCTTTGGTCCACCACCACTACTATCAAGTCATGTTCCTACCTCCCTCCTTTTTTGACCCAAAAAAAATCCTTTCTTTCTTCCTTCCAATATCCCCCTTTTGGCTTTGTCAGTTGCATTCTTCTCTTTGACGTCTGACTCTGTGATATATGGCCATGGATGAACAACAATCATCAGAGCTATTGACATCAGAAAATGGAAGAGAATTGTCAGAGAACTACAGAGAAGAAGGGAGAGAAAAGGGTCCTCATCGTCACCCTCAATCAGGAACCATCTCTTTCCCCGGTGGTGGCTTCATTGGGAAACATAGGTTGCAAGCAGCCCTGACCCACCTCAATAACCAAATCACCATTTTGCAGGTCAACCCTCGTTTTCTCTTCTTACTTTTTTTGTCAATTTGATGATCCATTTTGCTTTGCTCAATAATTTGCTCATTTTTTTTTCTTCATCTTAACTTATAAGAAGAATTTGATGTTGAAGTATGATTATGATGATGCAGGAAGAATTGGAAAAAGTTGAAACAATTGGTGAATCCTCCACCGTTTGCAAGGAGTAAGCAGAGCCAAAATTTCTCATTATTCTTCTATTAGAGTGTCTGTTTTAATCATTGACCCCTCCTCAATCCATTGTGTTCTTGCAGTTTAATTTCAAGCGTTGAATCCACTCCAGATCCTCTCCTTCCATGGTAACAACTTATTCATCCTCATGCTCATCACAGAACCTTCTTCATTACAAAACTTAAATACAGTATCTTGGAATTCACTTATTTTTGTTATTCTCTAACTAAAATTGAAGTCTTATTTTTCATATAACAAAAGCTTACTTATAGAATAAAGAATGCTAATAATACACCTGTTAATACACTTTTTCTATTATATTACACTTACGATTTTTAAAATTTATTGAACTTATAAATTTAAGAAAGAATCATTATGAAATTCACAAAAGTTTGTAAATTTTCATAAAACTGAACCGATTAGAACAAGTGTATTTAAAATAGGGTTCTGATGTAGACTTATACATGTTATTGAAATAGAATTTGAATTGTAATGACAAAAACAGTAGTTATATATTCTATCTGATATATGTTATTTTTTTAAGGATCCAATGTCGCGATGTTTGAGTATTCATAGTAAAATGTTTTTGCAGCACCAAAGGTTCAGTGGATGCTGCTTGGGATCGATGGTTCGGAGCCACCCACCATTCTCGAACACACAAACGTTGGATTTAGGGTTTATATATATTTGTTTTCTCTTCATTTTTTTTTTTTCCTATAAACTATGAACTAAATTGATGAGGAAGATTAACGTCCGACAGTGATAAATGAATTACATTTTCTCAGTTTTTAATGCTTTTTCTTTTCAGAAAAAGAAAAGCGTAATGATATAATTCAATGGAAATTCCTTCGGAAATTTATTATATACTTGTTCTGCTTTGTCTTTGTGCTCTGTTTGTTTCTTATTTTCCCATATTCGTATTTTTATTTGTTAAGGCTTAAATTCATTTTGAACTTACAATTCTGCGAATTTATAATTTTTTATTCCTATAAAAATTTAATTATATATTTAGTCAGTTATTATTTAATATTAAACAATTTTGATCCATTGCAAGTATATCATTAGAAAATGCTACTATATTTATCAATGGTAACTAATGTTTTTAATAAATTATTTTAATGATTAAAATATATAAAATAATATATAATTTAATGATATTAAAATTATAAAAAAAAACTTAAATTTAGGTTTTTAACCTAAAGAAACATATACATTATATTTATATATTTTATAATTATAATATTTATTACATACTCTTGAAGAGGATTTTATATGTATAAAGAAGATTCGTATTTATGTCATCAATATTTAGAAAGTCCCTCGATACAATAATTCCCTTATAATAAATAATATAGAATTGTTTTTGTTAGAGAAAATGATAAATATTTAGAAAATAATTTATTTCAAAAAAATTTGCAGTATATATTTATTAAATTTGTTCTATCTAATAATATTTATATTTATTTCACAGTTTAGAAATTCAAGCTATTATTAAAAAATAATATACTAATCTATTTGAAAGTTTTACTAACGATAAATCAATTTGTTCTTTCTAACGGTATTTATACTATTATATTTTTATTAATCATATTTGTTTTTATTGATTTTTTTTCATGAATAATCATGTTATTATTTCATATTTTCGTGCTCTCGTGATGGTAATTATTTTTGGTGAGATGAGAGTAAATAAAGATGATGGTCGATCGGATGAAAATAGTATAGATTGATCGGATTGATAAGATGATTCGATAGGGAGGAATTTGAATTAAAATAGGCTATAATTAATAACAAGATCTCTAAGAATAAAAAAGCAACAAAAAAAAAAAATATATATATATATATATATATATATATATATATATATATATATATATATATATATATATATATATATATATATATATATATATCAATGTTCTGTAATTTCATTAAAACTGATCAACTCAACTATGATATGACAGAAGACTTTAACTATATATAGCTAAAAGAAGAAAACAAACTATTAATGATAGAATAACTATTTGTTTATTACATAAAACAGAAAGCTAAATAAAATACTGTTTTATAATATATAATAACATATAGAAAACTTTAAATATTATTTATATATTTTCATTGAAGATACAATTATGAATAATTTTTTTACAAATTCAAGCTGTGAGCTTTGGTCATCATATTTACTTACATGAAAACCAAGCGAGCCAATAAATGTTAAAAAGATTCATAACACATGGTGAAATTTGCACGATAAATGAGTCTCACATACAGTCAAAAGAAACTGATATTAGAGCTTTTAGTTTTCTAATTACTCGTTACACTCTTTTTTACTTGATTTTCATTATGTTCAAACATAAGTTTCACATTCTGAATCAGCTAAAAAAATAATTCAAAACTATGTATCAAATTTGATCACGGTTTTGGAAGAATCAAATAACCTGAATTTAAAAATAAAGGACCAACATAAATTTTAATTATAAGAAAAATATATTTAGGAGTTTTAAATTTTTGGATGATAACATAATATGAAGATAATAAAATAACTCTTATTGACTTCCTCAATATCCGTACTTTGTTACCAATATCAAATGATGTTATAACATGTCCCTACAACTTCTAGTTTTGCAACAATTTCATGAATCTCTTTCGTTGCTTGTAGATCATAAGATCTCAACAATGTTCATTCTAATCACTACAACAACACAGCACATTACCGTACAAAAAATCTCACTTTAGATTGTCGTTTGTCTAGATCTGAAAACACTTTTTATTTTGAAAAAAACGCATTTTGAATTTTGTTTGACAAATTAAATACCCAAACACCATTCATTTTGTGGATTAGAGAAAGAATGCAATTTGATTTATGGGTCTTGGGTCTTAATTATTTGGCATATACAACAAACAAACATATCAACAAAAAAAATAAAGAAAAAGAACACAAATAAAAAGTTTGGAATGCTCTGGCACATAAAACCAAAACAGAGAGAAGCATTCTGAATGTTGCATTTAACGCTGTGTAAGATCCAGATGAATTTATTTAGTTGTGTCGCACTACACTCTTCTTTTTCTCACTCAAAATTTCCCTTTTAGAACTTATATATATACACCAATAAATCTTATAAAAGATTATACCATTGAAACTGAAAGTGTGTTTCCTAAAAAACCTGAGATGAAAAATTTGATGTCAAAAGTGTTCCACGAAACCCTGCCTCGGTATGTTGCGTTTCCATTTCCTCATCACAAAGCTCATCTACATAATACGAATATTATAATTTGTGTATATGCAAGGACAAGATGATCAAGTACGAGTATCAAATAGCATACCTGCAATATCTCTATTTTCATGAATCTGAGAGTCCCTCACAATAATTTGATCTCCAGCAAATATATTAGCATCTACAAGCGTAGTATATTCGTTATTAACTTCAATTATTTTATCACCTTTCTGTAATATCTGGTTTTCTTTGACAACCTGCGAGGACAATCATCAGATGTAGAAAAAATAAATTATACATTATGAAGCACTAAATTGATTGCAACAATATATATATAATTTAAGACAGATGCGCTTATTGGTGAAAAAATTGGGAGGCAGAAAATTGGGAAGGGTAGATGAGTAGACTAACTATTAATTTATAACAACAAAGTCAGGCTTTACTTATAGCATGAAAATGAATTGAAAGTGGTTTCACTAACTGAGGCTTGTTGTATAGCATGAAAAATAGAAAGCAGTTTTCTCATCCCATTCTATTTTCAGTTTAGCAGGACATGCCTAATTTCAAAGTAACCATCTAAGTCAGTTTCGGTTCATCTTGATATGAATGCTTTTAAACAAACAAAGAACTCACCCCAAAGGATTCCCATATCATCATTTTCAGCTGATAAATTGATGTTGAAGCAGAAACTTTTAGACTAATCGAACTCCCATTTTTAGTCTTCCGAGAACGTTTAGAAACCCTTCTGTCTGTTTCAACAAAGCCCTTCGCAGCGTCCAAGATAGATTTGGGGATCTCCTTTCCATGGACAAGAATTACACTAATGTCCTTATCGCAATAGTTAAGTTTCTGCACTAAGTCACTACTTTCCTTTTCTCCAATGCAACTTTCGCAAACCTGCATATTGAGAGAAGGGGGAGTATAAATCAAATGAAAACAAATCAGAGAAGTTTATACTTTCTAGTAACATAGTAGGTAAAAGTTATTAGCTCTGTGGGAGAAAATATGGGAGTGACATAGACCACGCAAAATAATGTAGAAGTAGAGAACTATTAACTCAAGTACTTATTTTCAGTCAAGTAACATTAACACATCTGAACTGAAAGTTGATGTTTCAAGACACGATTGCTTTCATTCAGAAACATGCACTACATACAAAAACAAAGGGTTATAGCTGACAGGAAAACAAGAAAAATCAAGGACCATTGCCTTTCAAGCCAAGCTGAACTACACATTCATTCATATATATCAACAACAAACACCATATTAGATAATTTGACAAATGTATGCAACTTGTTTCCACCATTTACTGTGCATATCTCTTAAAATAAAGAAAATTACATTCGCATCCCCTTATTTTTTACAAATTATACCTCCATCTTTTGCATCACTTTGGCACCTCTTAATGAAAAGGTATTAAGTAATGACAATGTGGTTCTCTCCTTTCTCTACAAAACTAAAAGTATTGCTCTCACTTAACCCCAAACCCAAAACCGACATCTATGTAAAGTGTACACAACACAAAGCTTCCACTCCCAACGTCAACTCTAGTACGATGCTGCCTCAGTGCCCTGCCATCACGATCCCTCCATTGAGGCCTTCTCCGTTGCCACAACTCATGACCCTCATCTCCAGATTCTTCGACTCCAACGCTGCAACTGCTGCTCTGTCAGCACCATGCCCTCCCCATTGGCCTTTTCAAACTTGAAATTAATCAAAAATTTTGAGTAAAAAAAGTATTTTTCTGCCTGTCAATATTGGTTTGAGTATTTTCTCTTATACTAAAATTTATTGATTAAAATTCAAAGTTATGTCTAAACACAACTTTAGGTCATCATCTTGTGCTTGGGCCAAAGGAATTTTGTCTGGCAGGGAGTATTGCAATTTTTTGTTGAGCATTCCATAATAATACATGGTCCATGTGTTAGATGGATCCTGTTGGTTGATTGGGTTTTATGTTGTTTATTCTACCAACCCTTAGTCCAGTGGTCTGTTTAGTTAATGACACAGGTTCCTAGAATTTATAAATGAGTTAACAAATTGGTGAAGTTGGGTTACACATTACCAGAGCAACTTGGTTACAGCTCCCTTGACAATTAATTATTCTTGTTTTTTTGTTCCTACTACGGCTATAGCTTTTTCCTTAGATCCAAAGGCATAAATGAGTATTGGGTCAAGGAAGAAGGGAGATGAAGGGTCTCTAGGGAAAGGAGAAGAATGGCAAATGCTTAATCAAATCAAGATTCAAATGGTGAATCGTTTCGATTTTTTTAATAATGATTCGAATTTTATTATGAATCGTAGATAAATAATAAATAAAATATAATATTTTTAACTAAAAATAAGTGATATGATACATTACAATACAATGTGCATACAAAATCATGATTCTAACGTTAAAGTAACCAAAAAGGCATTATTAAAATAAAATTAAAATTAAAAATAAAGTGCAGTGTCATTCAAACAAAAAAGTAAGTGGCAGGGGAAGTGTCATATTCAATCAGAAAAAGCAAATGTCACAAGTGTAATATTGCATGCAAACATAAAAAGTATTTTTATATTATAATATAAATTTGGTTTTTCAGAATTGGGTTTTCAAAATACATCTTCGTGCTCCATGTTTACTTACCTTTCTTCTTCTACACCCAACCTCTATTTCTGCGCACACTCACCGTTTCTGCACACAACAACACCTTTCTGTTTCACTGTTTCTGCACACAGTCTCTTCTCCTCCATGGAGTCTCTCTTCTCCAGAGAGTCTCCTCTTTGCGAGTGAATCCCTTCTCTGCTAGCCTCACACATTACACTCTTCTTCTCCCTTGTTTGCTCTTTTTCTGTTCATCCTTCTTAACCTTCTCAATATATAGTTAGTTTGTTCCAATCAGAATGTGTCCTTCGTTCCAATCGCCCTTTTTCATTTTATTTTTTTGTGTACATCGCTTCGTTTCACTTACTATTCACTTTGTTTCACTTACTATTCACTTTGTTTCACTTACCAGTCGCATTGTTTTGTTTACTAAACGCACGCAGTCTAGAATCGTGCACGATGGAGTTGAATCGCAAATCACACGATTCAACTCCGATTCATCCTATTCGAGTTATAAAACGATACATTCAATAAATTGTTCCAAAAAATAAAGGTTAACAATTCACAATTCAAATCGTGCGATTCTAACTTCAAAGATGAGAAGGTCCTTGTTTATGGGCAATTGGAAATGCAAAAGAGAAGAAAACAGAGTCTTTGTAGAATAAGGGACATTTTGGGAACAAATTTCAGTAAAATTCACTTGCATATCACATGGATGCTTTTGTTAACCAATTGTACGGGCACAGTATAATAGTGTTAAACAATTAAGGGGTTTTCTAAAGGTGTCAAAAACAGAGGTATCATGTGTAATCTGGAAAAAGATATAGAAGATGGAAGTCTAATTTACTCTTTAAAATAAGAAACAAAGTGAACACAGTGAGGTCTTTTCATAATTACTAGTAGAAACTGAATCTGAAAACAAAATATTTCCACAATCCATGAACACAGTAAACAACTACCAGACAAAAGGAGGAGAAAGAAAAGTAGCGCCAGAATCGAAATAGCTTGCACAACAGATTGTGGCGGAGTTTTTGGATTACCTCAGGATACGTCTTAATCACAAGTTGTTCATTCACTCCTATATAACTTTCATTATTCACATTATCCCAAGTATCAAGCTTATCCTCACAGATAGGCATCTCTTTGCAGGATCCATTCAAAGCATTCTCTAAATCATTGACCTTCTCAATTCTTGCAGATATTCCTTTGGTCTCAATACCACTCCATTCTTCACAGAAGCACTTCCAATCATTCTCTGATACGATGGTTAAGCCACCTACCTAGAATCCACAAAGTGAATAATCATAAAACTGAGAGACTTAAAACACACTTAAAGTCACATAGATATGAAAAAAAGGAAGAAACAAAGAGAGAGCAAGTTTATATTGGGAACATACTGTTTAGGAAAAAGATTTAAGGCATACTAAAAATACTGAATTTAATTTCAGCTAATAAAACAATGAGATAAAACTGCAGATGTGCACGTACATGTCACTTGACTGACTAAATTGTAGAAATTCCTTTAATAATTCTAACTTACAGAAGATTCTCTTGAAATTATAGCACTGCGTCTGTAAATCAGTTCAGGAGGCCTTTCTACAAGCCGTGAGTGCTGAAGACACAAAAAAAGGGAAACAAAATTCTTCGTGAAATTGCTATTGATTAAAGATGATATACACATGATGACCCAATCACAGTGACACTATAAAGAGTTAGAAATCTACAATTAAATCCCTAAAATGTATGACGGAAAAACTTTTTTAAAGTTAATATTCTCATAATAATTGCAGACCTAAAAGGTCAACTCAAATTTAACAAAATGCTCATAAGTAGTATACTAAACTGACATAAAAACAAGATGCACATGACATGACAAACGAAGTTTAGTGAGGAAACAGTACCTTCTCACACATCAGTGAATCAATTACTCCATCTAAAGTTTCAGGTTTATCTGAATTCTTCACAGCGAAATTAACGAAATTTCTCCATTTTGAAATCCAAGAGGAAGGAACTAAGAAATACTTGCAATGTAGAGAGAGTGGCATACTTTTGCCAACAAATAATTTCTCATGATTTTGGCGTTGCATTTGTTTGACTAATCTGCATCATGAACAAAAAATTCACTTTAAAATTTTCTATGCCAGTACATACTAAATGTACAGAAAAATCACCTCAAAGAGTCCTCAAAGCAAGCCTCATTAGATATTTCATCACTGCATTGGCAACACTCCCTGGAATCTAAAGGAAAAGTAGGACAACCTAGAGGATCATCAGGTTTTACTGAAATGGCATCTTTATATAAGAAAAGCCAGAAACACTCAGGAACAAGCAACCGCTTGGCACCAACAGCTTGCACAGGCATAAGTTGGCCATGTGGACAAGTAATGGATGTTGTTGGTCCAGCATCAGCTTCAGATGGAGCATCAACAACTTTTCTTTTCCACCATTGCTGCAACCTAAAATTAAACTCATCAGCATAAAAACTTTAGTACTTTGAAATATCCTAACAGACATTGGAAGATAATGCAAAGAAATTAAAACTGAGCACAACAGATGATAGATTTCTCAAAGAATAAACTCTTTTACTATCTCAAAATGAAACAGAACACTTATGCACATCACCTCTTACCCCTTTCTAAAGGAGCAGAAGTGGATGGAAAAAAGATTTGCAGTCATACCATGGTCTAGAAACATAGTACATTCCATCTTTATAATTTCCATCAAGAATAGCCCGTGCTAATTGCTTCAATGATTCTCTTTGATCGCGATAGGTGTCAGCTGACACCACATTCTGAGCCCCATCAATCAGACAATCCCAACAGCAGTCATCATGAGAAAGAGTTGGTCCCCCACCGTACTAAATTTTACAAGCCAATAAATTAAGCATATTATGCACATAATTATTTTGCAACAAGGGCAAAATATGAGGAGATATACATATGAATAATCGACAAGTCCATAACTAAAAATCAGCAAGTTACTACAAATCAAGAAGTTACTAAATCTCTAAAAAGAAGATTAAACTTTCTGTTATTTTTAGTATAATGTAATACCCACTTCACAAAAATTATCATTTATTAAAACATTTCTCCTCCAGTCCCCCTTCAGAGTCACATATGACAACAGTTTCCCTGCTAACATTGTCAATAAGAACAAGGTAAACTTGACACTTCATGATGAAAATAATCTGCTAATGCTGCTCAGTGATTCACTTATGGGATACAAGTTTTACTCAGCTAACGCTTCCTCTGATAAATCTTTTTATATCTCGCCTACCAGTCTTAGACATCACAATATGTAAAAGATATACAAAACAAAAATCACTTTTCAAATTATTCTATGCCAAGTTACATTATCATTCTTTTTCAATTTGATTTTAAAGGAGCCACAAGATCAATGTACGAAATAATAACACAAGGAGATTAATAAAAAAAAAAAAAATCAAGTACTTAATATATGTCAGGTTACCTTAGACAATAAGATATTCCAAGCTTTAGCAGATAACCGCTTCATTGAAGTAACCTTAAACACTGGAACTTTTCCATGTGAGCATTGGATAGATGTATTGTCAAGAGCACTGTTTAAGATGCAAGTGACATACATTATGGGAAATAATCCTACCAACAACAATTGGCAAAAGGAACACTTGATTCAAAGGCACAAAGAAATGACCTTTGTTACAAATAATTAGATAAACAGAATAAAACCTTAAATATTTAAGGTAAAAAAAAACACAACAGAAGGTATGCACTAACGCTGGAATGTTGCTGTCAGCCCACTGGCGAAGCCAGTCACTACAGATCCAAAAGTACGGTTGCTCTCGTGGTTGTGTAGGAGCTTCTGCTAAAACAGATCGAACTTCCTGTCTCCTCTCATTGATACAACTCAATTCTAAATTTTTCCTATATTTGTAATGCTCGCAAGAATCGAGATACGAGGCATTAAAATTTTGAATCTCATCACAAAGATGAGAAGGGACAAAAGGACTGTCTTGTGCAGTAATTTCATTTCCCTCTACTTCTTTAATGTTAACACCATAAGCAGTGTCCATGTTTTCACCAACATTTTTGTTATGCTTAAGATGGTACATCAGCAAGTATGCATCACTTGATGAAAATGTCTCCTGAAGTGAAGATTGTGAATGAGGAGCATCTAAACCATTACTGTCAGTTAGAATTGCTTCAGAGCAATTAGAAGCATCTGTCTTAACAGATTTAGAAGTTGAAGATGAAGCTGTTTCACCGAATGGATGGAAACCTAAATTAGTAACCTGCTCATCATCAAATTCCCACCATTGTCCAGTGTTTTCATCCTTGATATGGGCGATGTAGTGACCACTATTAACAGCAGTTCCTTTGTGAATCAGTACAGCTGACAAGTCATATATCAATTCAAACTGAGACGGCTCAGACAATCTCCGGTGCATATCAAGTTCAGCAGGAAATGAAAATGCAGAAGTAACTTTCTTCTTCGTTGTATTCTGGCAGTGGAAATAGAAGAATAAAGGACAAAATTTATCAAAAAAAAAATGTTACAAAAAGTAAAATTTACTCCATAGGCATGAAGGAGCTGAAAAATAAGAGGGGGGGAGGGGAGAATGGTATAAAAAACCAATGTTAAATGAAGACAACCACAAGAAAGAAAATGCATGCAATCATTAGCACATTCTCTATCTTTAGAAAACTACTTTTGCATGATCACTAACCAAAAAATAATTTCAAAATATCCTGCACAATTTTGCAAAGTAAATAAAAAATCACTTCTTTATAACCATTCAAAGTTTGTTTACTCCAATTAAATTTGAAATTTTATCAAGGACGACAAATATCTTCCAAAGACACCAAGAAATACAAAAGGGAGAACTAGAAACAAGAAAGCAATGCTCTCACACACCAGCATGTGAAAAACAGATCAGGTTCTTGTATAGCTCTTTCTGATAAAGTATTTAGACCAACTTACTTGGTATAAATGGTATAACACACATTGGAGGGATTTCATCATATTTGATTTGAGGTTTTGGCATAGTTGGGAAACTACATAATATACACACACACTTATATGCACATATACCAGTCCTCACTGCCTTGGTGCATATGAAACTATTAGGAATCTAATTTTCTTTAAGACCAGAATTGTATGATTGTATAAGATAAAATCATCAACAGTGTCTGTAACGATCTTCCATTACAAGTATTTCCAAAGCACACTGCAGTGGATTGCTTAAAGCAATAGATTTCAATTCTGTAATGGGATATTTCTTCTTTTAGTAAGTTCCCTATCATTCTCAATCTAATACAGTTTATTTACCTCTTGTTCCTAAATAAGAACTATAATTACACATAAAGAATATGCAAACCATGAAAAAATGCAGTGCATTTATTCGTGTAATGCTCCCAATACACACTCAATTTTTTCCAATACCTGTGGAAGGAAGACATAACGTTTAAGTTGAAAATTAAGTACATCAGGTAATGTACACAGCTTGATGCTGCGAGTAGCATCAACTCTTGTTTTACATGACCCACAAAAATATTGATTGTCTCCATGAAGCTCTTCAATTGCGAGGTAATCATCTAGACTTTCATCTAAACCTTTTAGTCCCTTAATATTCAACTCTAACCCATAAAAGTCTTCCATTTTTGAAGAAGATTCAGATTCTCTTCCACATTGCGCACATCTGCAAGGCAAATATGAAATTAAAAATGTGTAACAGTCATAAACACAACTGTTACTGGTCACATACAAATCTAATTCGAATGCATAGAAGATTAAAAATTTGTTTGGGATTATTTGATCATAAAATACCAGATTCACTTCTGACCTATGAAGCACAGACACTTCAAGAAAGGCCGTGTTGGGAACATGCCAAAAACTTGATGTTAGACACAATACAACAAATTACAAAATGGCATGGACACATCAAATTTTGTGGTGCTGCTGTGTCTGTGTCATTGTCATGTCCTCTGTCCATACCAATGCATCTTAACTTTTGACCAACAACGAAAAAAGGATTCTGAACATCCAGTACCATTAATTATATTATCAATAGTACTTAAAAAAAGGAAATGTAACAACCAATTTAGTACAGAAAGATAATCAAAAGTGTCATTTGGTAACATCAAATACATTGTCTAGGGAAGCAAAATCAAATATGCATTTTGCAGAAGAATCAACACCACCCAAAAACAACTGTATTTTACACGTTATTAACATTAACACCATTCCAAAGATAAATTTCTTTTTGGGTATTTTCCAGTAATTAAGGAGTGGGAAAGGTCCGATTTAAAATTATAAGAGAAAATTTTGACTTGTTTGACAAATCTAAAATATTTCAACACAAGCATCCCTACAAAATAAAATTAGATGGAAAAAGAAATTGTATGTTGTTCGATATCCCACAACAACAACTGATTCTTACGTTGTCACATGAAACATGCTTCCTCGGAAAAGATCTTGAACTGTTGTTCTTGCCTTAGCAATTTTGGAATGGCTCAAACAACCCTCAAGTAATGACAAAAGCAATGTCATAAACTCATGGCTATCCTGCTGAACTCTATTGTCTAACTCCAGTGTCTTAACAAATGGAGAAGAATCTACGAAAGCCATTTTACTAGCATGCAACTGTACAAAAAGTCGAATCAATTGACCCAACACTGGTTGTTTTTGTAAAAGATCAGGTTCTACAGAAAATATGCCTTCTCGGAAAGATTTATTCATGTACAAGCACTGTAGTATACTGTTGGCATAGCATGTTGCACCAAGATTGGTCAGACCTGCAGGATAACTATCAGAAGCACGAAGATCCAAAGTTGGATCAGGACCTAGACTTTCAACAAAGTCAGACATCTTCTGCCATAGGCCAGCCTTCCGGGTACCATTTGGAGGTGGAACCAATGCACAGAAACAATTTGGGTTGTCTTTAGTATTAACACGACAGCCTGAACAGACTGGCTTCCAAATCATATACAGTTGGCTCATATCGTCTTCAGTCACTGCACCCGTTTTGTGAATTTTCCTACACAGTAAACATAAACATGCAAAGTGTAACGGTAAGCTCTAATCTCGTTACATTTCACAAGCTAACAACCAAAGAATGTCAGCTAGTAGTACCTCCATATTTCTGAAGTGCCGTCATCATCGTTCCCCTGCTTCTGCCTTTTATTTTTACTTCGAGTTGTCGGTCTACTCATTCTAGAATGAAAAAACCTAACCCTGAAAAAAAGGATAGAAGAAACTAATTCCCTTGATAAAAAGAAAAATGAAATTAATGAATACAGTATTTCCTCGTCCATTTTTTAACTCTTATTCACTACAACATTGAACCAAATTATAATTAAAATTGGTTCCACTTATGTCAGTAGCCCTACTATCAAAAACTCATAATCAGACACCAATTATTAGTAAGCTAGCAACTCAAAATTCAAACTACAGCAAGAAAAATGTTCATAGAATATACTTTCAACGAATTCACGTTACGCAATTACATAGCAACAACTATTTATACAACTAATAAACCCAAAATTTCAAAAAAAAAAAAAAAAGCAAATTAAACGAAACAGTGGCTACATTAGTGTATATATGCAAAAACATTATCCTAACTTCACTTCCTCATCATCAGTATTCATTGCACACCAGAAAAAGAAAAAAATCAAATTACATAGATATCACAAACAGCTTAAAAGAACCCTAGAAAATTCTACCAGGCCAAAAAAATTAACAGAACGAAGTGTGAAGCGCACGCAAAATTCAATAAAAAATAAATAAATAACTACATCATTAATCAACCGTAGTAAAAACATTATCCAGAAATTATTATACTAAGGTAGAAATAAATCAGAAAATGTGGTTGTGACGTTACCTGGAGAAAAGGAGAAACTGCTCTGAACAAGAAGATCAAGAATCACTGAAAAAACAAAGTATGTGAGAAATAAAACAATTTACAAAATGAATTTATTTTTAAATTGATTTTGAACAAGAATTGTTGATAATTGTTTATTTGAAATTTTGCTTTAGTTAGTAGGATGATTTACCTTTGTGAGAGGGAGGAGGGAAGAGAAAATGGTTGGAAGAAACAGAGGAAGAAGAGGAAGAGTGTGAGTGAGAGAGAGAGAGAGAGAAAAGAGAGAAAATGACAAAGGGGTTGTGTTGGGCCAAGTAAGTGTATATGTAACATTGGATATATATGGGTCAACTTTGACTCCCACTTTTTTCCCTGTCTAGGGTAGAGGCAGGGGTTACACGTCACAAAAAGGTAGGGTAGCATTGAGAGTTGAGATCATAGGTTCAGATCAATTAATGGCACTTTTGATTTGTTTAAGGAGCTTAAAATAATTTTGTAATAAAATTTTGTTTTAACTAATTAAAATTATTCTTATCACTATGATTTATAACTTAATTAGAGTAAATTACATTGACTATGGGCACCATCTTTTTAACTTAAAAATTGTTTTAAAAAATATTATTTATATATAAAAATATTATAACATTTCCCACACTAGTTTTCTAAGGGTTAAAAAAATAGAAATATATTTTACAATATAAAAATTTAGAAGGAAATTAATTCGGTAAAGGTTACAAAATGTTTATATGTAATAATTATTAGATGAAAGTATAAAGCTGCATTATAGGAGTCTGTATTATTTATTATAGTTTTTACTATCAGATATTAACAAATACTTTTTTATAAATTTTAAATAACTATTATGATGATAATTAATAAAAAAACATTTTTATCAATATATTATATTTGAGTATATTTATGATTTTTATATTATTTAGATTAAGATGGTTTATATTTTTTTTCTCATTTTACTAATATGATTTTTAAGGATAAAAATTAGAACTCTAAAATAAATAATATAAAAATTTAATATTAATTTATAGATAAATTTTAATTAAATTTAAAAAGTTATAACTAATTTTGTTGAAATTAAATTTATGTAACTTTAAATCAATATTTACTAATTCTAAAAGAAAAAGTTGAATGTAAGAAATTATAAAAAAAATAAAAATAAAGAAGATATATTGAAAGAAAAAAAACTAATAATATAAACATGAAAAGACACATTGTTATTTCAACTTGTATAATATTGATTAAGTTTTGATACTAATATTTATTGTTCAAACAGATGCGAATTTTAAAAATACTATCAATAAGTAAATTTTTTAAAAATTACATAATGGGCAAGTCACATTTTCAAACATGACTTAAAAAAAAGTTACGATTCTATTTTTCTTAACTTAAAAAACTTAATTTTTAAAATATAATTTATATTTTTTAATATTTTTAATTTATTCGGTAAATTCATATTTTCATGGATGACTAATTTATTTTATTTTTAATATTTTTATAAATAATATTAATGATATCAATTATAATTATTATGAAACTAATAATGATATTAATAACAACATTAAATAAAAATAGTAATAATACAAAGATGATTAAATAATTAAATTAATAATAATATCTGTTTTGGTAAGTTTAACTGTAACGTAGTTTCAAATTAGACCCTATTTCGGTGAAGATAAAATTTAATAATATTATCATAACACTCGTATTATTAAATAAAACATTAATGAAATTAGTGTTTCAGTTATTAATAATTAATATTAAATAATATTAATAATAGCATTAATTATTATAATTAATAAATATAATAATAAGTATTAATTATTTTTCTTCATTAATATTATTATTTATTTATATTTGTATTATTAATATCATTATTAAATTATTATTGAAATAAATTTTATTATAATAAATAATAATAAAGTTGATGAAATAATAATATTAAAAATTAAAATAAATCCTTAAAATTTATAAAAAAAATGGAATCGTATATTAAAAAAATACAACTTTATTACAAGACAAAAATTAAAACCTATAAAAAAAAAACTGAAGTCGAATGTCATAAATTGAAAAAAAAATACTTGATGTTTTTGCCACCATAATCATATAAAGTCGAGGAAAGACAATATGTTATAAAATATATTTTTAAATAATTTTATTTATTATTATTATTATTAAAATATAATTATTTATATTTTTATATTATTAAATTTTTTATTTTTTTTTACAATCTTCAAGCATTCCTCGTTGACTTTTTTTTAACTCATGACATATACCACATTTTTTTCTCCTTCTATTATTTTTAAAATTATATTTAATAAAAATAATAATATAATATAAACGATAATACTAAGCACATTTTAAAAAAGGAATTTTTATATATATAATAATAATAATAATAATAATAATATATTATTATTATTATTATTGTAATAATGATAAATTTAAAGTGAAACATTTTTTACATCTAATCCAAAATTATTTTAAAAAAAACTTTCAGAAAATTTCATAAGTTATTATCAAAGTAATATTATAAGAAGCATTGTTGAACCAAATTTTTCCATTAAAATGAAGAGAATAAAAGTATTTTTAAATTTTAATATTAAATATGGTTATATTTGTCTTTTTTTATATTTGAATAATATTTGAAACATTATTTTAGAGTATGTGGGTTTTTGTTTTTAATGAGTTTTTCATAATTATTACTCACTATATTTTATTTGATATATTTTAAATACCTCCAAATTTTATTAACACCAAAGCAAAATTTATGAAACATATATTATTAAATTTAGGTCGGTTTTCTAAAAGGAAAGTACAACTTTTATCTGTTATCACGGTTATCTATTAGAACTTCTATAATTTCTAATTAATTAATATAAATTATATATTCTATTATAACATATAGTTGAGTTATTTTCTTTTATTTAAATGAACTAAATTTAAAGTAACAACTAATGAGTTTAAAAATAGATACAGCTGATATGCGCTTAAAAGACCATCACATCTCCATATTATAATCCTACAAATTATAATTTTCATTTTAAAAATATAATAAATTAATATAAATAATTAAGATGCAGATTGACAAATTTCAAGACCAATTAATATTTTGTGAACCCTAATCAATAAAATCATCCAAATTACGTAATTTTTTTACAGATTTTAATTATCCTTTAAAGTTTAGGATGTGACTAGATCCTAATAATTTTTTTATAGAAAGGTCAATTTAATTTAAAATATATAAAAAATTTAATCACAAAAATAACTTTTATCTCTAAGTTATTTTTCATTTCAAAGAAGTCTCTACATACTATTATCAAAATGTAATTCTTCTTTATAAAATTTAAATTATATTTTAATAACAATATATAAAAACCTATGTAAAACAAAACACAAATTTGAAAAATAAAAATTACTTTCCAAAATTGTTTATTTACTCATTAACAATCAAGACAATTCAACTCTTTTTTTTCTTTCTTCACAATAATACAGTCGATTTACACTTTGCAGTAAATTTTCATTTTTTTTAATTACATCCAATCCAGATCGTTAATCTATGCATATATAATAAACACGCGCTAAGCTAATATTGAACTTATGAGAGAAGCATGCCCTTGAAATCATCCAAAGCAGAGACCATTGTGTACACATGCATACACACACCCCTTCGGCTGAAGTCATGGGAGCACTTGATGCACAACAATTAAATAATAACAAATACAATCTTTCTCCACTGAGGAAAATTGAATACATAAATCACACAATGAAACTGTTCATCAAGACTAATCCATACGAAGTTTCAACAATTCTTATTTTGACAAGATCTTCACAGAACACATGCACAACAGATTCTTAAGATAACCCAAGGAAAAGGGGGAAAATATATCGAAATCACAAAATTGCCTTAACTCAAGCAAGACATGTAATTTGTGTACTATAATTCATAAATTACAAGTTTTCAAAGTAATATAGCGAAGTTGTTTTAAAATTTCTTAGATACAGTTATTATTTAATTATGACTATCCCAACAAAAAAAAGGAAAAATTAAATCAAAATCCCAAAATTGCCTTAATTGACTAGTAAGACATGTAATTTATGTATTATAATTTATAAATTGCAATCCTGTTACAACATCTATAAGGAAACCAACTGCAAAGTTGTTTACCTTAATGGTTGGTCCTTGACCTGAAACAAAGGGCAAGACATGTCACTCAAACAGTCCATCCCCAAATGAGGCTTTCTTTTTAACTAGCTTTCTTCCCCTGAAATAGCCTGGTCAGATATTTCCTCAACCTCAGGGATAGTTTTTACAGGACTATCGCTTCCAATTAAGCTGTCAGCTGCAGAAGCACCAACTTTTTTAACTTCTTCGCCATCATCCGTTTTTGGAGACCCAGTGTTTGGGAGACTTAAACCAGATATATTCTCATCCGAATGCTTTGGTTTGTTCAAGGCGTGACAATGTGGGCAATAATAAGTAATGAATGGGAAATCCTCCTTTCGAGAAAGACCTGAAAGGAAATCAGCCGGTAAAAATACACTTTATAAACCGTATTCAAAAATGAAAATTAGCTATTACTTAGTATGTGTGCATGTGTGTGCCAGAGCATGTATATGAAAAAAACCTAGAACATCAATTACAATCAACTTACCATTGTGCATATGGCAATTACCACATATGAGTGCATAAGACTGCGTTGGATCCTCACCCACAAGCAATGCTGCAATTCGAGCAATCCATCCTCCATCATTCATTGTTGAAGTTTGAGGATGATGTTCAACAACTACAAGCTTATTATGCTCAGGAGTTTGAGTTGGATCAATTTTCCCATAACCACCACCAACTAATTGTTGATCAGAATAATTTGGTGTATTTGTCCCTGGAGTAGTGGATTTAGAGTTCACTTGTTTGCGATTTCGAAGTCCACCTGACTGCACAACTTCAACATCCTTGGTCTTCCCTGTTGGAGCACCAGAAGATTCATCCCCCACATACACGTTCAAACCAGAATCTGCACCCAACTTTGATGCTAAAACAGTTGCAGCGGCTGCTTTTGCTGCCGGATCCGTGTCATATCTCTGCGGATCACAAATAATATTAAAGTATTTTCAAACAAATGCATCAAGTTGACTTTTAATGATACACTCGAAAGCACAGGAAAATATTAAAGAAACTAGGATCCTATTCATGGAATTGGTGTCATATCATATGTGATTCATTTACTTCCCCAAGGAAAAAGTTCTTATTGTTAACAAATAACATAATGGAGGCGATCATATTCAAAGTGACTGTTTAATCTATAAAAGTTTATGTTTTACACTTTTTCATCAGTAGATCTTTCAAGATGATATATTTCGTGTCCAACAAGTTATTATAACTGGACTGACCAAACTCAACCATATAAAGAAATAATAATAATAAAATAAGAAGTTTAATAGTTTTGTACAAGGAAAAGACGTATTGGAATAATAATCAACAAACAATGAGATAGTAACCAAAATTTATCGCAAACAATGAACCTCCACCCTGGTCCAAATCAGTAATTCTTCACAGTCCCAAAAAGCAATGGATTAAAAAGGCCAAGCAAAACTACTTTCAGTGAACTCTAGTATGAGCTTGATAACATAAATAATGCATTTTGTCAATATCTTCAGCCATTTTGCCGTGTCAGACAGTATATAGCTCTTATACAATCATCATTACCCAGTTGCATAAGCAACAAGATACCATTATGCTAACCAATTCGATGTTTGTTGTCAAGAAAATATAATCTCACAATACTTACAGATAAAAGAATACCCTTCTTTGCACTAATGAAATATATGATTGAATTACCTTAATCTAAGTAAAAGTTAAAGACATTAGTCATGACATTATTAACACCAAAAAGATACTAGTTAACTAACTGTATGATGAAAATAAACTAAAGGAATGAAGAAACTACTATTAAAGCAATTGTATAATAAAGATACATGAAAGTTAAAGAAAATTGGGCTGGTGAGAAAATACGCAAACCATAAAGTCAGATTCAACAGCAAATCAGAAAGAATGAAAAATGGGCAATTATTAAAAGAGCATAATGTAAAATACTTATTATGTGTTGCTTTTAAAAATAACTGCCTTTCTACTTTTTCAATTTAGAGATTTAACTTATCTTCATGATCGTTTATTTTGGGATTTTTTTGTCTGATTATGGTATTCACTATGTTTGGGTGGTAAAAAGCCTTTAGGCGCCATATTTCTTGAAGGTTCATCTGATACTAATTGTGTAGCAGTAATGGCATTGACAAATCGATTTTAGCAGCAGTCGTGCAAGAAAGAAGGTCAATTATTTTTCTTATTAGGTGATGTCAAGTGCAGTACTAATGATTATAACTTGTAACATATTCAAATTGTTTGACTGGATTTAATTACACTGTTAGGTTGAAGTGTGAACACGAAGTAAAAGTAGTATTTACTTTATACGCACCAAACAAGGCATGAAACAAAATACCCCAGTATATTGTCTGCTCTGAGTGCCAAGGAACTACGGTATGTAACAACAGTTGCTTTAAACAATTACCTGAATGAGTTGTTGAGTAATGTAATAATTTGTCTTTTCTTTGAGTTCATCAATTTTTGCTTTTCTTTCGGCTCTAAGCCTTTCAAGAATTTTCTGGTCCTTGCGATCACCTATAAAATCAAACTTTTACATAAATTTTAACTAATATTATCTGCACCTGGCAAATGGAAACTAATGTTACAAATAGAATCATAGGGGTGCAGTGGTAGCTTTTACAATTTATGACTAATGGTTCCAAATTTATAATATCTGCTGCTTCATGTTCATCTTTTGCCGCACAGAATTTCATTTCCGATATTTGTACAAAGATTTCATATGAGAACCTTCTATTTCTAAATCATGTGAAGATAAGCTTAAATCAAGCATTTTTATCAGCATTTGCTGCAAAACTACACTGTAGCAATTATTTTTTATAAAAAGCATTCATTCATTACAGTTCTTAAAATGTAGACTTTTTCACTCACTAAGAAGTTGTTAATAAAAGTGATGGAATCAAAACCCTTTCACACTATAAACTATATATGGAGGACTACAACAATTTATGAGCTCAATTTTTATTTTTATTTTTTGAAAAATGGGAACACTAAAGGTTCTACTGGCCTAGAAGTCAGATGCACATTCAGTAGAACAGATAAATATATGGTGCTACAATTTACAGAACAAAAAATTTACAAGCAAGAGAATGAGATATGTATGAAAATTGTAAACGGGTTTGGACACTTACACATCCTTGTGAAGCTGACAAATGTTGAATATGTAGCAGTTGACAGCGCAGGCAAAAGAAACATTGGCAAAACGCGAACTGCCCTCATTTTCCAATCCATATCCATTGATCTTGTTGTCATAATAGCATAACCTACAGCAATGACCTGAAATTTGAAAACCATTTTAAGCAAAATCCATTTAATTTTACACCCTCAGAAAGATAAGAATAATGTCAGAGGAGAAATTCAAAATTTGAGGCAATTCCCCATTGTTATTCTATATAGATAGAAAAATTAGCACACACCTCAAATATTTATTTCATGATCATTGCTTTCAAAAAATCTATGGCATAATACAAACTACATTTACATTCCAAAAATGGTTCTACTTTCTCATCCGAACAAATCAGTTCTTCTAAACTAACTTCCAAAACACATGATAACCACCCAAGATCTGAGGAAAACACCCTAAAAAGCTAGCTATTAAGGAGGGAGAGTCAAACACTAATAAGAAACACTTTCTGAGACATCGACAACAAGCTCTGATACGAATTGATAAACACCCAATTATTTGGAGAACCCTCCCTCAAAGTTAGCTATTAAGGGGGGAGAACCAAGTACTTAAATACTACACCAAGAATCTCATCTTACTTGGTGTGGAACTTAGGCATCCCATAATACCCAAGTAGCTGTCAACACCATTCCAAAATGCAAAACACTTTTTTCAACCCCGATTCATCCAAAATCAACCCATATTCTCATCCTATCCATTCATAATCCACCAGAATATTAAATTAAAAGAAATTGTTTTTTTTTTTCATCGCACGAAAAGTTGCCTATGCTTGGTTCCTTCAAACGTCCAATATTTTAAATTCTTAAATTGCAGCATCAAAATCAAGGTTTTAAATTCTCCATTCTTTAAAAAACGCAATTGCAGCCTCTATTTTTCACAACGTCAAGGGCTTTTAGGTCTCCACAACATCAAGTTTTGGAAATCTCCAAAACCACATATCAACAGCAATAGCAGCCACATATTTTTCGCACGGTCAACGCCAACCACAATTGCAACCGCGAATTCTCGCAACGTCAAAGTTTTTGTAGACTCCACGACATCAAGGTTTCGAAGTCTCCAGATCACAACCGCAATTTTTCGCAGCATCAAGATTTTCTCTCCGAAGTCTCTACAATATCAACAACGTCTGAAGCCTCCAAAACCAAGTCAAAATGGCAATTGCGGCCACAGTTTCTCGCAATGTCAAGGACATCAGAGACTCCACAGCCGCAATTCAAAACCTCACATATATCCATCTATTAATTCGACTCTCCCGCAGTGGCAAAGCAAGTTCAGACCGAAGCAAAAAACTTGCCCCCAACAAAACAAAATATTGCGAAACGAAAATTACCTCGAACAGAACGGAGAATAAAATAAGCTGGCGAGAGGTTCGCCTCCAAGTGCGAGATCTAGTGCTCATTCTCGCAACGACGGCGTTTTCTTCTTTGGTGATACACTGAAGCCTCTTCTCAAAATCGTCGCGTTTGGACCTGAACATCGCGTTCCATATTCGCGAAATAAACCCCTTCTTGTTCGGTTTCTTCGTCTTCTCGTCATTGTTCTCAATATTCTCGTTCACCACACTGGTTTCTTTCTTCTCACCTTTCTCATCACCCATCACTCTCACCGCTTCGTTTGAATCAGTTAACAATTGAAAGGAGAGAGAGAGGAAGAAGAAGAAGGTGTTCGATCTGGGAGGGTTCTAGAATGTTAAGTGGTTCAGATCTTGCGCGCGTAAGAGGGTGAGGGTGGAGTTACGAAGTGGGAAGAGGAAGAAGAAGGAGAAGGTAGAGAGAGGGGTATTCAAATTTCTGGGGCTTTGGTGTTTCGATAACGTTGCTTGTGCACGCGGTGCCACGCGCGTTGAAGTTCACGCTCCGCGAATGGTTTCGTGCCACTGCATCACCCTAATCCTTTTTCAAATAAATAAGAGTTATGTCATGGTGATGGAAAACGGTGTGAAGTTTGAAGTAGTTGGGACTTGACTCTGAAGATGATGAATACAACCACTACTACTACCAGTCAACCGTTAATTGCTGTGTTAGAGATTCTTCTCGAAAAGTTTATAAATATATTTTTATTGTAATTTTAAATTTTATATTTTATCAATATTCTAACTTTTTTCTTTATAAAATTAATTTTTTATTGTAATTATTTATAATTTCATTTATTTTTTAACTTAATTGTCTGTGGTTTTTTATTATTTTTTACATGTTACAATGAAAATGAGGAGGAACCCATTGTACTTGTCGTGAAGTAATGATAATGACATACTGTTTTATGGATTATATAATAATTTAAGGATTATATAATAATTTAATACATCTTAAAAGAATTGACAAAATTTATAATAATTAAATTCAGAAGTTGAAACTACCTACAATTAAATTCAACTGCTAAAATCACGTAAATTTAAAAATTAAAGGATTAAATTATGAAAAGAAATCAGAAAAAGGGGAATTTATAACTATATACAAATCTAGATAACGCAAATATTATCTTTCTACATATGTCACCAACATAATTTTTTCAAAAGAAATCAAAAACAAAATTTGTACAAAACATCCCTATTTGTAGAAAAAGACACACTGTTTTTTTTTTCACAACAACACTCCAAGTCCAAATACTCCTCAGCTCAATACTCTTTCAATCTCTCATATGTTCCTTCGTTCAGTTTGCTATAAGCTTTTTTCATTCTACACGTCTTTTTTGTTCTATAATCTTTCCTCTTTTATGTAAGATTAGAGTCTCAAAAGAAGTATCAAATTTTTTTTGTAGAATTTTCATATGCACGTTCAGATAGGTTATGTTATATTTTTTATCGATTTACTTTTGAATCTAAATTTTTTTTATTCAAAGGTTACCGATTTCGTAAAAAATGTTACTCGATTTTTTTTATATAAGATTTTGCATTTAAACGTTACCGATTTCGTAAAAAAAGTTACTAATTTGCTTTGATATAAGGTTTTTGAATTTAAAAGTTATCGATTTCGGAAAAAATGTTATTGATTAGCTTTGATCTAAGGTTTTTGAATTTAAAAGTTACCGATTTCAATCTTTATGTTGTTTACCTTCAAGAGCAAAGTTGGAATTTTTTTCCCTAAAATTTTTTTCTTTTTTATGATGATTAGGGTTCAATATTGTCTTCTTTGACCGCTATTAGGGTTGTAGATCCGTTTATACCGTTTCAATATAGTTTTATGTAATTTTGCCTATTGGTTTGCATTTTAGATCTTGACGAAAATACAGGAAGCAAAATACATGAAAATGGTAATATCTTCATTTTACAAAAGTTTGAATTCAGATTACTTTAATATTGTCAACATTTCAAATTTCAAATTCTAGAATACAGGTAACATTTCCCTCTTTCATCATGCTTATAAATATACATATGTGATGACAATATTTCTACGTTGAATGTTATTCTCTATCTGTTTTTTACATTCATTTTGCAACATGTCCAATTTGCAAAATAGTATCACTCTATTTCAGAACTCAATGCTAAAAAAGAAAATTGGAATATATTGGTAAAGGTCATACGCCTGTGGTTTGTTTCAGATTTCACTAAACACAAATTGTCATTTTCCATGGACTTTGTCATGCAAGATATGAAGGTCAGTTGCACTACCATGCTTTTAATACATTTTAAATAACACTCATTTGTGATTTCATTTTCTTAATGCAGGGTGACAAAATTCAGGGTTCTGTTAGGAGGTCTCTCATCATCTATAAATTTCAAAATGAAATTACTGAGGGGCGTGTGTACTCTATTCAAAATTTTGGTCTTGGATCAAATGGTGGTTCTTATAGAATCACCCAGCACCCATACAAAATCAACTTCCAGTTTGGAACCAAAGTGAACTTAGTTGATTGTCATGTTATAACTGAAAATAATTGTCAATACCGCTCTTAGTTATTACGGCTCCTAGATTTGACACAGATTATTTGGTTGGTAAGTGCATATAACATGATGTTAAATACTCTATTTTATCATATACTATTTATTTATTATTTAGTATATGGTGTTACTCACATGAAACATCATTTCCCAAACAAATGTCATGGGAATACTTATAGAAATTGGGACAGAAAGAGAGCTAGACAAGAATGAAAAAAAAAAACTAAACTAAACATGATATGCTTAGAGGCTGATTGGTAAAATTCTTTAACCCATTTATTAATGCTTAAGGATTTACTATAGTATAGTTTAGTTTTTTTTTAACATGTGTTGTTTTTCAAACTTAGTTTTAAAGTAGAGAGTACGTTGTTTTGCCAATATATTGATGACCTAAATGCATTCCTTGCATATGGAGATATCCAAAATCCTGTCATAAGCATACAATTTGGCAAAGTCAAAATCTTCCAAGGTAACTAATATATTGGTGTTATAATTAGTTATAGTTAGTTACAATTATTGACATTATATTATAGTTTTATATCTTTATATGTTATTTACAAATAAAGTATATGTGCAAAATTGTATGGATTGTACAATAATCATTTTCAATGCCCAGTGCGAAGAAGCTAACAACTTAAAAAAAGGTATGATTTTTATTCTCATGTCATTATTTTATAACCTAAAACTTATGTCCCTTTTTTTCTCATCCTTATGGTGGTCTACTAATTTTTAGTCTTTGATTTTAATAGGATTTGCAAGTGAATTTTGCAACTTATGTTCGGAGTGGTAGATTTAAAACGGTAATACGTTGTGAAGAATATTATCGAGTCAAGTGTAAACTTTTGACCAGAGATTCATCGAGGAAGTCCACAAAAATTGGCAAAGGATGAAAGAAATTTTGTCGTTCTAATTATATAAGGAAAGATGATCACCTCATGATTCAGGCTAGCACCCCTCCAAAAAATACGATCAAAATTTTTGCTTGGAAATGATACAAATGTTTATATAACAATGTGTAATTTGCTGTTGTATTAGTTTAAATTGACTTTAATGATTTTTTTTTTGTTCTTCGTGAATTATACATGTTCATATACTCTTGTCTTTTTGTAATAGCACAATCATATTTTTTAAGATTAATGAATTTCCTTATATACTTGATAATGTCCTTAAAGATTAATGAATATTTTCAATTTTAAATTAAAGGTTAGTGTATGATTTATTAAGCATGCGTTCTATAGTCATGTTGATTTAAACTCATATATTATGTTTTTAACTTATTATAGCAAATATTTTATGTGTAATAAAATTTATAAATGTGTAAATGCTGACTCATTATATAAGTGTTGAAATTAAAATGTTTTCAACATATACTTTAGTCAGCTACATTATCTCATCATACAAACAAATAATAAAATATCTTTATCGTTAACTAACAATATTATATTATGCAATATATTCTTATTATTAATGTGTTATTTTAAATAAATATTTTTCTTATAATAATAATTAGTACATAATGGGTGACATTTATAGAATGATTTTAAACATTCTTTTCAGTAAACTAACATTTAAAGTATAACATTTTCTCTGATAGTCTACCATAAACAAATTTATGAACATATATATTTAGATACTTTGTTATATCAAATTTTTAACAATATTTTATGTATTATATTTCATTATAATTCTTTATTTTTTTTCATTTATGAATGTATTTATGAATATTTATATATTTATTATTTACTTATTTATTATTATTATTATATATAATTTTATATTTTATATTTAAAGCTAATTCGTAAACATCATTTCCAATGTCTTTTCACTTTTTCTAATACTTTGATTAAAGGAATTGTCTCCATTCTGTCTAATTTTAATCTTTTTCCACATGTGATTTTCTTTTTTGACTCTTATTAAAAAAAAAAGGTCTTTTATGAATCTTATTGGAAAGAAAGGTGAAAAGTCATCATTTTCAACTTTTATTTTCTTTGTTTTCACCTACGATGAATGAAGTAGCTTACTTGCATATTCATTGCATCTAATTTCCATCTCTCTCCCATAAACAATGGAAGAAGTCTGAACCATGCTTCACAGGAAGAACATAGGATTTTTCAATATCATGCATCTACAAAATATGGTATGTTTTCTTCTTTCCTATATATTTTCTTTCCTTTTGATGTCTCTTTCTTTATATGCCTTCCTATAAATTTCTTTTGTACACTATTGTTCCATCTATTTGTTTCTATATAAGTAAAATCATAACTTTTTTAATTTTTCATGTAAGATTTTGGATATGTTGATCGTGAGTTTGTTATAGCGTTTGCACATGAGCTTGGTGATCAATGGAGTTTGCATGATGACAAGGGTAACTTAAATGTTGTCACTTACAACATGGACTTAGATAGGTCTTTGCTCACACAAGGATGGGTTGAGTTAAGAAGGTTCTACAACATGACTGGGAACCATTCATTTTGTTTCAATATGCTGGACATTCTATTTTTCAAATAACAGTATTTAAAGGTACTTATACACTTTCAACTATGAAGAACTTTGAGGATCGCCTTGCATGGTGGGAAGGTTTAGTTTATTTTCCAGTAACAATGACTAAATCCCAAAGCAAAGGAAGTCATTTGGTTTGATTTCTATTCTTATTTTCATTCTTATATTAATTGTGTTAGCTACTTTTTATCATTATAGTGATATTTTAATTTTAGCGTTCA